TATAACTTTTTATAATTTTTCAAAAAAATAACAAAAAAACTGTTACAATTTTATAATTTTTGAAAAAATTAATCCAAAAAAATTACAAGAAAAAATCCCCTACCTCAATCCCCAATGCACCTTAATTTCCTGCATAATTAAGAGTTAAAACTCAATCAAAAGATGTCTTAAGTTTGGTTACCGAGTATACGGATTAAAAAGAGACTAAAAGCTTTCTTTCCTCCAGAAAATTTGACACGCAGCCCTCAATCAAAGTCGAGATCGTTTCCTTGCCCTCATTTACGACGATCGGCCTTGACTTCTGTGATTGAGTTGAGGAACGGCGATGAGGAGAACAGAAGTCTTGCGGAATCGAACGAAATATCTGGGAGAGATTTCGAACGTTGAGGAAATAGAGAGAAATTTGCCGGAGGGTCTCCGATGGCAGTTACTGCGTTTTCCAGGAGAGAAAAGTAGGGATGGAAATTGAAATAGGACGGAAGACGGGAATTAATAAAGGATGACAAAGGAAGAGGAAAACGAGAAGGTTAAATCACCATTTTGGTATCTGAACTTTGAGTTTTAGACCAAGTTGGTCCCTAAACCTTGAAAATTACCAAATTGTCTTTAAACCTTATTTTTCGTCTTACTAAATTGGTCCTTTCGTCAATAGAATTGTTCGGTTGTGATGTTAATTTGTCACGAATTCATGCTTTTTAATTTTAACTATTAGATGGAATTCTTTTTTTTTTTTTTTTGTTGGCTTATTATGGCTTTTACATGTGCATGTCTATCTATACTTTAAAAACTAAAGCAATGATGTAAAATTTTAATACTCTTATCAACTAAACACTAAAACCTAATTGAGTTTAATTACAAAACTATCCATCCTTGCCTTCTTCCCCCACTTCATCTTCTTCTTCCTTTCTTTCTCTTTACTCTTCTTTTCTGACACCGGGGATATCTTTCTCCTTATCTCTTCTTTGGCATCAATGATCTCTTCCCTCTCCCTTCATTGGTGCCCTCTTCATCTTTTCTTTGTGCCTCGGTCTCTTCTTCCCCTTCTCTTTCATCCCATCACTAATCTCTCATATGGCAAATCAATTAGGTTAGGTTCATTGCATGATAACCTAGATTTGCCCACCAATATCCTACGGATTGATGATGTTGCTGTGAAACTAAAGTCTCCACTCTTCTACAGTTAGATTAGTTTGTGTGCTGTCTTGCTTGATTTTGTGGCCAAAATTCTCCTTTTAGCCACTAAATGTTGGGAGAAGAATTATTGTTTTAATTGTAGTTTTGGTGGCTAGAACTATAGTTTGAGAATGTATATATGTTTCTTGATGTGTTTTGAAAGGTTGAATTTGATTTTGGGTGTGGAGGGTGTGGAGACTATTGGGGAGTCTATTGGGCCAGCTTAGAAGTGCACATGTGAAAGAGAACAAACATATATGAGGAGAAGGAGAGAAGGAGATTCCACAAAATGAGAGTAGGAGATGTTGGAGAAGGGAGGGATGAGAGAAGATTAATTAAGCATGGGCCCCAATGTGTTTAATTTAATTTACTAAGAAAGCTATGATAATTGCACATTAAAAAATGATAATAGTGTAGGACAAGTCATTCTCTTAAAATTTTTTTGGAGAACTTATCTGAAAACATACTTTCTAATTAATATTTTTAAAAACAGATTATTAGATTGAAAGTTTTATTCATACAGATTATGTATGTTAATTTTCATATTGATGTAACACTATAACCTCTTGGTCAAATAAACTCTATTTACTAACATATATTTAATGGTATTAAATTTCTTATAATCAATGAAATGATTAGATCTATTAAAATAATTTAAAATTTACTATGCATAATCTACATAAATAAAATTTTTAATCTAATAGTTGGGTTTTAAAAATATTAATTAGAAGATAAATTTTTAAACATATCCTTAAAAAAATTTAAGCGAATGACCTACAAAACCTTTTTTTCCTTAGAAAAAAAATTAAGGTAAGATAATAATTACCACTAGAAAACCCACAATTTTAAGGTGAGTGAGTCCTACTATATTTAAATTATTTATTAAATAATTACTATCAAAATTTAAAAGGAAAGTCTTATGTGGAAATGAAAATTATTCATATTGGTAATAAAATAAGGTTTTTAATATATATTGTAAGAATACAAATTAAAAGTAAAATAAATACATATTTTTATCATTAATTTGTGTTAAGAAAATAAAAATTGACATTTAATTTATTCACTATTCAATTAAATTTATATATCTAACAATCATATTAAAATTAATGTCAATTTTTATATTTTTTAATAACATTTATGACGAAAAAATGTTGTTAATCTAAACTCATAGGGCACAAATTAAAAAAACTCATAAATAATTTCACAATTTTCATGTAATATTTTAATTTTAAAATTTTGTATTTTAAGATCACGTAACTGTCCATTTTAGCATCAGAAAATTAAAGTTTAGGGATGATGTTGATCATTTTGAAGTTTGGGAAGTAACTTGGTCAAAAAGTTAAAGTTGAGGGACTAAATGATCATTTAACCAAATGAGAGGCGAAGTCTAGATGCGGGAAGAGTCAATCCCTTAAAAAAACAAGTCAAGTCAAGAACAGTCCCTCGCCTCTCAACAATTATTGTTAATGGGTCCCACATATTATAAAGTATAGTATAAAAAGATTGCCGGTTGTTGCAGGAACAAATTCGACCTTTATTTTTTTGAACTAAATTTCAGCCACTCGATATGCATTATTAAGAAAGTAAAGTTTGCTTCCCTCAAAAAAAAAAAAAAAGGAGGTGGGGAAGAAGAAGAAAGTAAAGTTTGCTATGTGTCATGATCATGTCTGCCACTGCTACTCGCCTTTTGTAGTTGGGTCAACCAAAGTCCAACAAAATATCCTAATAACTAATAATATGATTAATCAAAATTAATTATCATTTTTTCTCTGTGGGACTTAGGAGTTAGGAGGTAGCATATTTACTAGTATATCTTCAGTCAACTTGGAGGAATTAGCAGGAAGCTTTCAATAAAATTAAAAAACAAGGGAAGATCCAAAAAACTGAAGTCGTATTCAAATCTTCCTCTTCCGAGGGCATGGGTCATAGACATCTTTCTTTACTCTTACTTTGGCAGAGAAGGGGCCGTCAGGGAGAATATGAGTATTCATTGTTTTAAAATGTAGTTAGTAGACTTTTGCTGAACTGGAAAGATGGTTACAATCAGTGTTGTTAAAATCATGATTTAAATAGTAAAATCGTACGATTTTATGATTTTAAGTAAGTATTTTGAGTTAAATTTATGTTAAAATCAAAATTTTGTGAAATTAAGGGTTAAAATCATAAAATCATGATTTTATTATGAAATCGGATAAAATCTCAATTTTACTCTCAGTTAAAGCAGCTGGACCATTTCCGCTTGGGCATCCATCTTGGGTTAATGGGCTTTAACCAACAGCCCTTAAATTAAACCCATTTCTTATTTTAGAAGCCCACAACCCTCAACCCAACAACAATTGCAATTTGCTTCTAGAAATCGGGAGTTTGGGACTAATTTGATCTGAATCTTTGATCTTCTTTAGCCTTCCTTCACTCTTCACTTGGAGATTAGATCGAACTGCCGCTGCTCTCATCACTCACTGGCCCCTGCCACTGCTCATCACTCACTGGCCACTTTTGCTGCTTATCACTCACTGTCACTGCCACTGCTGCTACTCACTGCTCAGTGCTGCTCACTGCTCAGGGGCTTGCTGGAGTTGCTGTTGCTCATTGCTCAGGCTCTTCCCGAAGTTACTGCTGCTCACTATGTGCTCAGGCCCTTGCTACCTTCAAAATATTTAGCATCTTGATTCTTTGGATCATATCTTGTTTAGAATCTCCACCAACTTCTTTTTTATCTCTTTTGGCAAGAAAGTTAGTATTTACCATTTTTAATTTCTAATTTAAATGTTTAACTAATGATTTATGTTAAATTAATTTATTTATTTGTGTTATTAGATATTTAAATTTTAATTAGTTAATTTCAAGTTTTTAACTTCAAATTTAATTTATTATTATTTAATTTTGATTTTATATAATTTATTATATATTATATATTAAGTTTAATAAACTTTAGATTATACCGAATTGATTTTACGATAT